TCGGATGTCTCTATTTCTGTCTTTACCATCTCAAAAAATATTTTATGGTAGTCTTTCGGGTACATGATGGTACAGTGTGTTGTAAGAACATATATGCCATCATACTAATCATTGCCATTGTTTTCACCAGAAGCTAGAAAATAAATAAAGCATTTCTTAAAAGTTAAGAAATTGCAATTATCTAAAACAAGTAGGAGAGCATTATTTTTCATTCAATTTGTTACATCTTTTGTTATTGAATTTGATCACTATCTTCACTATCCTCTTTTTTTTTCTCTTGTGTGGTTTAGTTGGGATAGCTATTGCATTTCTTAGCCCTTAAACCCTAGAAAAAAAGATTGCAAGCATTAAATTACTAACACTAGAACTCACAGATATTTATATGTATTTCCCTCTCTTCAAATGAGAGTGAATAGAGATTCATAAATTCTAGATAATATGATATAATAAAACCCCTCAAGAATGTATTCTAGAAAAGAATCAAATCTCTATTTTATATACAAAAAGCTTATATCAATGGTTGTTTTTTTTCCTTTCAAACAATTATATAGTTTTATATAGAATTTTATTTAAAATTTAATAATTTTTAAATTCTGATAAACCTAACATTTATTAGTTATAAAGCATAGAGTACAGAATTAAGAAAGAAATAAAAATACTTTTTTAGCAAATATTTTATTTTATGTTCTAACAAACATCCCTATTATGGTATGTAAGTGTATGAAACATGGAAAGGGAATACAGAAAATGTGCATATCAATTAGCTTAAAAACTCTAGCTTATACAAGAGCGAGTGGTCCAGATTGAAACCAATCTGATGGTTACCAAAAACACACTATACTAATATTAGTATATGGCATTGTAGCCATACACTTGAACCTCACATCATCCCCTCCTTTCGAAATAATAGAAAACCATCGCCAGGATCTAAAGGAACGTGAAGAGGAAGCATCGGTAGATCTGTAGGTGGTACTAGCTGTTCTTGATCCCTTTATATGAAGTGTTTCAACCGCTGTATATGCACAATTTCTGAAGAATTGGCTTGTTGGATGTCATGCCGAACCTCATAAACTTGTGATCCAACTTGCCACAACACCAGATACGGTCTTTTCCACTAAGTAAGGAGCCCCTTAAATAAACCACATATCGTAACATGAGAAAAATGGACTAACACCACGTCATCCACTTTGCACTCCGCAGGTGGATAATGATAGGAGTTATAATGCCATTGTTGTCCCACTTGTATGGGGCCTAAGTGTTTAGTAGACTCTACTTGGACAAGTGGAAGAATGCTCGTCAAATACTAATCCCATGACTTAGCATCAGTAGCTCGTGGCAATCACAAAGGTAAATCTAACTCTATTGGTAATATTGGATTATGACCATATAGAAGTTTATATGGTGAAGCACCAATAAAACTCTACACTCCTATGATATATGCATACCGAAGACACGGCAAATAACCATTCCAATCCAAATGCTAAAAGTTCATGTATTTCGTGATCATTTCTTTGAATGTCCGAACAAGCCGTTCTACCAAACTGTCTGACTGTGGATGATAAGCACTAGTGAAAGTGTGGTATATCCCCAACCAAGACGTCAAAACATAAAATGCCTCAGCCATAAATGCGAGACCATTATCCGGAAGAATCTGCTCTGGACAAGAATGCTAGAACACCATTCAATTGAGGAGGAAGTATCCAACAACAATTGTAGAGGCACTAGCAAGAGCACCCCCAACGAGTCAAATAGTCATAAGCAATAATAACGTATTCATTACTAGCAGTCGATTGTGGAAAAGGTCCCATAAGATCAAACGTCACCAACTCAAATGAACGAGAAACTACAATTGACTCCAACTATTTTTCCACGGCATGAGGGGGAGTATTATGATCTTGGCACCAAATGCAGCTACACACATACCGAATAACATCATGTCGCATCTCTGGCCAATAGAAAGACCTACACTGCTTCTCGATCACACGACGATGTCCCATATGCCTGCCTAAAACAGGAGAATCATGGTAGACATGGAAAAACCGTGGAATAAAGATGAAAGGCATCACCAGCCGTAAAGGATCATTAAAATCCGTCCCTATAAATAAAGAAGGCTATTTTCAAGGTGATATTGAGAATGGAAATGCTGGAATGGCAAGTTATTAGTAAGTGATCCAAGATTCTTAAACCCATCTCGAAGCCTTTGAATCCATGGCTCAATCTTTTGAGCCTCGCGAACCTCATCAAGAGAAGGTAGATCTTGCTTTACACATTGTGAACATTGAACATTAAGTATAACAACTGTTGACGGCAAAGAATCCTTGTCTAGAAAATCCACAGATGCTAGAATAATAGGCTCATTAGAAACATGAGAAGAGAGTGGAGAATGAAGAGGAACTCGAGAAAGGGCATTAGTATCAGCTATAAAACTCCCTAGGTGATGAACAACATCAAAATCATATATTTAGAATTTCAAAGCCCACTAAACAGTACGACCAACTAGGTTCTTTTGTTTCAATAATGAAGTAACGATAGCATAATCACTTTTAAGTAATATCTGAAAACCATATAGATATGCATGAAGTTTCTCGAAACCCTAGACTGCTACTAAATACTTCTTCTCTGTCATGGAGTAATTCACCTCTGCTGGTTGTAATGTGTGGCTTATATATGCAATAGGATGGTGTTGACCAGGCACACTCGAGTTCTTTTGCATCAACACACCTCCAAAACCAATATCAGAAGCATCTACGCGTAAAATAAAATGTCGAGTGTAGTCAGAATATACCGAAATCGAAAGAGTTGTCAATAGCGCTTTGAAATCCACGAACACCCACTCACAATCTAGAGACTAGATGAAAGATGATATTAATGACTTCAACAATGCTCACAACAATGCAATGCGATTTCAAATATGATCCACAAAATGACCAAGATATTGCACCTTGCCTAAAAGTAGGGAAGGGTTTAGGGTTGGAAAGAGGTTGGCATGGTCAACCAACTTAAGGCATAATCTAGCTCTAGTTTACATGCATAGTCCTATTCTACATTTGCCATACTAAATGGTGAAATACCCATATTTTTGCATTAGGCCACACACTTCGGAGTAAGGAACTTTAGAATAGCCACAAGTTTGTTAGGATCAACTTACAAACACTCACGAGAAATACAGTCCCCAAGATGAGTTGTGTCCTTGGACCCAAACATGCACTTCAATTGCTTCAGCTTTAAACTAACGTCCCATAGCCAATCCAATATTTTATAAACATCATGAATGTGTTTCTCCCACATCCCTTCAAAGTGGATCAAGACATCATCAATGAAGTTAGTTGTCACTTCTGGCATATCGCAAAAAACCTTATCCATCATCCGTTGGAAAGTTGCTAGAGCATTGTTCAAACCAAATAGCATCACCAAGAACTCGTACAAACCAAATGGTATATGAAAAGCAATCTTAGGAACATCTTCTTCGGCCAGAAGCAAGATCTAATTTGGTGAATTAACGACATCACCCCAAACGATCTAAGAGATCAGCAGTGTGAGGAAGAAGGTACACATCTAGGATCGTCACTTCATTTAACGGATGATAGTCAATGTAAAAACAAATACTCCTATCAGGCTTTGTCACAAGATGAGGTTCATATGCTTAAAGACTTCGTAACTTCTGAATAACACCCTTCTCTAATATCTCTTTGACATTTGCACGTAAAATCTTGATCTCTTTGGGTGACCGATGACAAATGGGAACCTTAATTGGACAAGCATCCCTAGTTGGAATCAGATGACATATGGCAATCTTGGCCCCAGACAATAGGTCAAACTCAAAGAGATTAGAATACTCCTTTATGAGCCGATCAACGACTGCAACACAAAAATTGTCAGAGGGATCGAAAAAGGGAAGAGCAAAATAAAATAGAAATATAGAAAGAAGTAGTGGGGGGACAAAAGTAATGGAAGCAAAGGTAGAAGCAAAAAGACGAAGAAATACGGAAGTGAGAGGAATGAATGAAATATAAAGAAGTATAAGACAAGGGGGAAAGCCTCAAAGTCACACTTGGCACGATTGTGTTGCAACCAATCCATACAAAGTATGAGGTCTAAAGCTTGACTTGGCACCACCCACAATGATTACAACTTAAGCTTGAGATCACCCACATGCACAATTAAGTCCACTTCATCCCGTGCACATGCATGTGTACAACTATTGCCATAACTGACTCCACTGCATGACATAAGTGTAGACGACAACGTGTGGCAACAAGTCGAGCAATAAAAGACAAACTCGAACCTGTATTAACCAATATAGAGAGAAAAATAGGAGATCATTTGCTATAAAAATGAGCTTGGAAAGTAAACACTAGATAAACTAGTGCCGAGTGAACCTCTTGATGATACTCCCGAAAGAAATATAGAAGGGTCACTAACTTATTTGTGCAAAGTCCTTTCAGTACTCGCGCAATTCCTCGTTTCCCAGATGCATCTCGATGTCCAAACCTTCCACTGCAGCAGCACCAACAAGATGTTGTTGACGCCAAGGTCTCCACCCAAGAAATAGTGGCTGCCAATCTGGAAAATGTTGACAACGCTGATAAGTGACAATTTTTTGTGAATTTTTTGTGTGACAATGCAACTGCTAATTTACGAAGATGTCTACAGTAGGGCATCTTTTTCCTTTTCTCACAGGATTTGGAAAGTATCAATCCTTATTATTCAGTGACTGTTTTGTAGGTGCTATCATCTTATACCAGAAGAAAGAGTTTATCTGATCTTGAAGTCAGTGAAGCTTGCTAAACTCAAGGACCTTTTATTCGAATCAGTCCAGAAGAAAACACAGCCATGTACCTAAGGAGAAATATCATGTAGTATCATACTGCCGAGAATCGGCTAAACACTTTCTAGATTGAATTTGTGAAAGAAACGTTCCTCATTGAGGTACTTCGCAATAAACTCACAAACAAAGAACAACTACTCATCCTTTTACAAAGATTTTCAGCACAAGTAAATCGTGTAAATATGGTCACCTTGTTACTGTAAAAATCGATCAAACAACACGATGCGTGCTTGCTAGCGTAAGACATCTATCTCCCGTTAGACTTGCTTTGCCAGGGCTTTACGACACCTACAACAATGACAGCGATCACTATTAGAAGTATGATGATGGCAATGCACATCCATTTCCTCTTGCTGCGTTGCAACTGCTTGGTCCTCTTGAGAGCGCTCGTGCCCGCCTGGACGTGATCCACCGCCTTGGAAACCTGCGCAAGATCGATCGATCAATTTTTAAAAGTTTTGAGGGTGATTCTTACTTGTGTTTCTATGTTGTCCAGCATCTCTCCCTGCGCCTCAACGAGGACAGCCATATCCAAGAATATCTGCAGCGAAGGAAACGCACAGTGAGATTCTTGGCACGAAAGTTTTTTGTTTCTCTTGTATACCTGATGGAGCTCGAGCAGTTTCTTTTCCATGTCCTTGACTGCGTCGTGTCTTTCCTGGATTTCGGCTACGGTATCTAAAATCTGTAGCAACGAGCTTGTTACGAACGAGCTTGTTCCAGAGATAAAATCACCTGTCCACGCCCTTGTTCTTGGATGGCTTTTTGGAATATTGATTCACTATCACCAGTTTCAATCAGCTGCTCTATCATATCCTCTTCTGGCCTTTTACCAGTGACTGGAAGAACAAGTTTTAGTTCTATAAGCGAAAGAAACAATGTCCTCTTCACTCACCAGTAAAGATTCTTCTTTCGACAACTTCTCTGTACTCGTCCTGGAATTTCTGTCGTAAGTCCTGAGACAAAACCCAGTTTTACATTATTAGCCTTTTCTTTCTTTACGAAGATAGCTGGCTTACTTGGAACTCTCCCATGAGGTCTTTTAGCTTCTTCTTGAGAGTTCTGTTAAGAATTGATAATCATTGAACCAAGCACGAAAACTATAGATCGACATACGCAGTCATCGACATCCTTTGCCTGTCAATACTCGATCCTTCCCCACATCCCGGTTTCTTACGATTAGATATATTCTGCGAAAAGTATAAAACCAGAGACTGATCCACCAAATCAACCAGAAAACTCACAGATTTATCCAACGCCTCCAGCTTCACTTTGATCTTTCGCGCGGCTTTGCTAACCTCATCAACGTCCGCTTCCATCCGCTTCTTTAAAGCTGCGTAGTGGGGAAAGACAAGGGCATTGATGTTAGAAAAGAATTTTTCCAACACCCCTCACTGACGAACCTTTCATTGCTGCCGCCTTGGTGACCGTCTTAGATTCCTCGTGTGCTTCCTGAAATGATTCCGGTCACAAGGCGTCTCAAGAACAAGGAAAAAAAAAAAAAGAGATCACTACCTGTAGCTTGTGAAGGTTTTTTCTAATCTGTCCCATTGAGGTAGTGATATGTCCAACCTGATGAGAAAATCCCCGATGAATAAAAAATTCTCTTTTCCAGGAAGGCATAGACACGAACCTCTTGAAGGAAATCCTCCATCCCTGTGTTAGCGACCCCGGCTTCCAGGTCTCCATTTGAGTCGCCGCTGATCCTAGCTTGCGGCGAAGAACCCTGGAAGAAAGAAGATCAAGACAAACTTTCAAAACCAAGAGAGCTTTCCAGCCGATGGGGGTTTCTACCGCTAGAAGATCGTTCATGCTGCTAATCCACCGCGCGAAGAATTCCTTCCGAAATATCACCCGCAGCTCCGATCGCAGCTAGAACCCTGAAATCCCTTGGAAGTAGACCGATCGATCGATCGATCCGTCTGATGGAATTCCCAATGCGCAGGGACTGGCTGGCGCTAGATCATGGAAGAGACGATCGATCGCTCGCTCACAGCGCCTCGCTCGACTACAAGATCGATGATGCGTAACGTGCCAGCGCGATCGGCCCCGTTGCCTCCGCCATGACCCACAAAACTAGGGCTTCCTCTTCTAGCTCCTTTTATTTTCCACTCTTTTGCTTCCACTCACGACTTTAGTTTAAAGACCCATCTAATTAATTGTCGTGTTTCTGGGATCCATTTGTCCGATTGATCGATTCTTACAGTCTTGGAATGAAACCATTAGCAATCAAAGAGATAAAACTTCTAAGAACAAAATAATGTATTGAAGCCAATAAAAAGATTATTCATGTGGTGGAAAAATGCACTGCCCGGGAATCGAACCCGGGTCTGTTCCGTGGCAGGGAACTATTCTACCACTAGACCAGCAGTGCTCGTATGTGTATGGAAGCCCGCAAAAACATAGTTTGATATTTGAAAGGGAATAGTTTTACGCGCAAAATAGTTTTCGATTTTGCTTTTGACGGCCCAATCCAACGGCGGCACCACCAAGAAAAAAATTCACTGTCCTTATTAGGGCTGGCCAGGAGCAAGGGCTAGGGTTTGGCGGCGTCGGGGGGTGGGGCAACAGTGCAGCAAGGCGGCGGCAGGCATCAATCTCTCCAGGCGCCTCCAGGCGCCGGGCTGGATCGGCACGTTTCACAATTCCTGGGGTAAGTAGAGCAGCAGTAGCGCCCAAAATTCTCGCCCTCTAGAACTCCTCGCGGATTTTCTCGCGGCAAGCTTGCTCGAATCAGCTGGCTGACGGTGGATTTTACTTGCAGAATTGTGGTGCCTGAGCCCATGAGCATAGAAGGAATGCCAATCATCTATGGTGTTGGGCGGTTTGCACCGCCTCCAATTGTTAGGCTGGCGAAAGGGGGCATAGTTTGGACGGGACTAGGAGGGCTGTTGATGCAGCGTCATGGATGAGTCGTGCTTTTGGCAGCAGTTGTCCTGCTGCGATGACAAATCGTCATGGTTCTGCCGGTTCTGAAATGGACGAAGCTGCTCGATGCGTCCTAGGCTCTAGTTTTTGCGGTTTAGTCCTCCGGGATGGAGGATCTCGGTACCCGGCTCGCAGATGGAAGACATCGTTAGAACGTACTTCAGATATTTTCAGCTACCGTATTTATGTAGAGGGGGGTTTCAGCAGCTCAGGAAAGGCCTAATCGTAACAGTTGAATGCACAAGACCTCAATCATGCAAAGGTATGTCCTCCTTTGTTTCAGTGGAGCAAACAGCGATTTTGTTGTTCTTTCTAGGTACAAAGTAATCAAGCAATTGGGGGACGGTACTTATGGAACTGTTTGGAAGGCTGTGAATAAAGTTACTAATGAGACTGTAAGTGGAATCCGTCTTCCATTCCTTTTCTTCTCTGTACTAAACTTGAGTTTCGTTTATTCAGGTTGCTATAAAAAAAATGAAAAGAAAATACCTTTCTTGGGACGAGTGCATGAACCTGAGGGAGGTGAAGGTTTGTGTCCTTGAAATTTTTCTTGCTGGCCTTATCTTTTCTCTTCTTACAGTCGCTGCGGAAGTTGAACCATCCGAATATAGTCAAGCTGAAGGAGGTTATCCGGGAAAATAACGAGCTATTCTTCGTTTTTGAGTATATGGTATTATATTTCTGCTTCCCATTTTCGGCGACTCACTTTTACTTGCAGGAGTGCAATCTTTACCAAATGATGAAGGACAGGCAGAAGCTATTTCCAGAAGCAAAGATACGGAATTGGTGCTTTCAGGTGTTGCAGGGTCTGGCTTATATGCATCGCGAGGGATACTTTCACCGAGATCTGAAGCCAGGTTTGTCTTTTGTTTATATCTACTCGCTCTTACCTTGTTTCTTTCTTTTGTAGAAAATTTACTTGTTACGGTCGATGTTATCAAAATTGCCGATTTTGGTCTTGCACGTGAAGTGCGGTCTCGGCCACCATACACGAATTACGTCTCTACTCGATGGTAGCTTCTTTTGTTGTTCGTTGCGTAATCTTATGCTTTACCTCAGGTACCGTGCTCCGGAGGTGTTACTGCAGTCGTCTCTGTACAACTCTGCGGTCGACATGTGGGCAATGGGTGCTATCATGGCTGAGCTTTTCAATCTCAGGCCTATCTTTCCTGGCGCTAGGTAATTTCGCAGTCTATTGGACGCCATCGCTTACCATTTTTTTACCATCTGTGCAGTGAAGCGGATGAAATATATAAGATCTGTAGTGTTTTGGGCAATCCATCTCAAGCTACTTGGCCAGATGGAATGAAACTTGCAAAATGCATGAATTTCCGCTTCCCGCAGGTCTGCTGATACTCTGCTTTATGATCATCACATTCTAAGAAGGATTCTTTTTCCAGTTCGTGCCAGCTAATCTTTCGGCTCTTGTGCCCTCCGCGAGTGCTGAGGCGATTGATCTGATGAAGGTAGAAAAATCTTTTCGAGGTGTGGTTGGTCTTAAAAGTGCCACCTTGGCAGGCTATGTTCGCTTGGGATCCTTTGAAAAGGCCGACGCCATCGCAGGCCCTGCAACATCCGTTTTTCCAGGTTTGTTCTTTATCCATGTTTTGTACCGAAGCAATAAAACCTTTGTGTAGGTGGGTGCGTGTATACCACCCTCGATTCCGTTCCAGGAACTTCGTGAAAACAAAGTAGCTCTTGCAAAAGGTACTGTTTCAGAATCCGCTTTTTCTTGACTCATTCCGATCGTCTTCTTCGCAGTTACATCTCAGCCTGTCAAGGGTGAAGTGACAGCGGTATGTTCGTCTTTCTCGTTTTCCCTTTCGACTTTACTAACTATGAATCTCGTGCAGGCCCGAAGCAGCCTCATAAGGCAGGCGCGCTACAGGCCGTTCGTGAATCCATCTGGTAAGCTTGTCGCTTCTCGCCGTTCTCTCCTTTTATCCCTGACAAACGGACTCTCAGACGTGTACCGGGCTCCACCTCCAGCATATGTGTCGCCTCTGTTGAATCCAACCGATCTCAAGGATTCGTTTAGGAGGTCTGCTCGTCTTTTTTATTTAAACTCACCGCACAGAGAATCTAAACTCTGGATTATTGTGCAGTCAGATTGCGCTTGGAGGAGCCGAGAAGATATCCTCACAAGCCAGTGGCAAGCAACAACACTGCAATGACTACTTCCAGTCAGTGAAGCCGCACTTTGGTCACGCTCCCTATGGAGCGGCGGCTTTCGGCTACAGCGATTTGGCTGGAGTGCCTCCTTCTAGGTACTAAGATTTGGCGAGTGGTTTTAAGTTTGATCTCTGCCAGGCCCGGCGTAAGCATAAGTTCTCTCCTGCGAGAAGAGGAAACTAAACTAAGGTGCTTTGATACTAGAGGAAGCATTCTCTGATTTGATGCTGGGCTGGATGGAGATGGTGTGGTTTTTAAGAACTAAATAAGCTGGGAATGGAAGTGCTTTAATGTTTGTGAAAGAAGTTGGCTGGCAAACAATGTCTTGTAGCAAATGGAACATTGAATTTTCTTGCTTCATGCCTTTCTCTATTGGCCAGAGTGTGACATTGTACCAACGTGGCCAATAGAAAAATATATCCTTCGTCGCTAGAACGAAAGGAAAAGAGTGTGATCTTTGGCTGGGTTCCACTTCCAGCCTTTAAAAATGCGATTTTGATAGCAATTCATGGAAGATCTAAGTGATAATCAAAAGCTGCATCGTGAGATGGAAAGAAAAGATCCAACCACATTGGTGTTGATTGATGTGATGATAAACTTTCTTCAAAGTAATTGGTGGATTGACTTGCAAGGGAGATGGAAGAGAAAAGAAATCCTTTTCTAGAGCCAATTTGTGCTCTTCCAATGGGAATTTGTGCTCTTCCAATGGGTGTACCAGTCCACGGGAGATCTAGCAGTGCTGAGCAGTGAATTTGGAGAGAATGGAGAGTAAGAGCGCAGATTTCAAGGACAAGGAGAACACGAATCGCGGCGCCAATGCCAGGATCACCAGCGGCAGGAGGAGCAATCCACCGGAATTGCCGCGGATCGTGCCTGGCAGCCCCAACAAGCCGCCGCGCGGGAGCAAGGAGACGATCCGGAGGAGCTCCAACCCCAAGGGCCAATCCCCCGCGCGATCCTTCGCCCCCATTTCCGCGGCGGCGCTCAAGAGCCTCTCCAAATCCATCAGCGGCGCCACCGCGCCGCAGAGGGCGCTGGACTACGCGCTCCAGGCGGTGAAATTCTTCGAGGAGGACGAGCAATCGGGCGGCAATTCGATCGAGCTGGCCATGAGTCTCCACGCGCTGGCCGCTGTCCACTGCCGGCTCCGCCAATTCGGCGACGCCATCGCCGCGCTGGAGCGCTCGATTAGGGCTCCTGACGCTGGCCGGGGCACCGAGCACGCGCTCGCGATCTTCAGCGGCTACATGCACCTGGGCGACACCTATGGATTGATGGGCCGGCACCCCGAATCACTCCAGGCGTATCACACCGCACTGGATCTCCAGAAGAAGGCCGTGGGCGATCGAGATCCCGGCGTCGCGCAGACTTGCCGCTATCTCGCCGAGGCCCACTTGCAAGTAAGCTCCAATTCTCGCGAATTCTCCGCGAATTCGCGTCCCCGATCGTCGCCCCCTCTAGCCCTAATCGTTCGTTCGTTCGTTCTTCTTCCTCTAGAACTTGGAATTCGACGAGGCCGAGGCAATGTGCCTGGAGCTGCTCCAGATCCACGCGCACATCGGACGGCCGGGATCAGTTGAGGAGGCCGCGGATCGACGGCTCATGGCGCTCATCTGTGGCGGGAAGGGCCAGCATGACGTGGCGCTCGAGTACCTCGTCCTTGCCAGCATGTCACTCATCCAATCCAACGGCCACGATCTCGAGGTGGCGGCCGTGGAGGCGAGCATTGGCGACACCTACGTTGCCCTAGGGCGTTTCGACGATGCGGTGTTTGCCTACCAGAAGGCGCTCACGGTCTTCAAATCCGCGAGAGGGGAAGATCACGCGTCGGTGGCGTCGATCTATGTGAGTCTCGCCGATCTCTACCTCAGAACAGGCAAGAATCGCGAATGCCGCACGTATTGCGAGACGGCGCTCAAGCTCTTCACCAAGAACGAGGGTTTGATCCAGGGGAGTAGAATCCCGCGGCAGCAGCAGGCGCTGGACGAGATTATCAGCGGATTG